AACAATTACACATGTGATGATGACAAGCGGGCAACAAGCTGCGCCGCTAATCCTTTCTAAATTGCAAAACCCAACCTACGAAACACATACTCAGCGAACCCTGCTGTCGCCACATTCTTATTCATGAATTTCTATACCCTCCTGAGGAACTCCACCGCATCAGCTGCAAGGAAACCAAACGTATCGAAAGCGAATGAGATGACGCTATGGTGGTAGTCCTTGCAAGTTTGATCATGTTTGCCCACCTTTGCCTCTGCTGCTCTATCCGCTGCATGCCCAACCTGGAACTCTCCATTACCAAACCCCACCAACGGAGACACCCCTGTGAGATCAACACAAGCTTGCTTCCCCCCGCTCCAATTGTAGACAAGAACGTCTGCAAGCTTGATCATATTTTTTTGTTTTATTTTATTTTATTTTTTACTTTTTAATTCTTTTTTGAAAGTCTTATAGCGACAAAGGTTTACCTAAACTCTCATGAGATAGATGGTAGCATCTCATTCATTATAATATTAGTTGATTCTGCTCTTCTTAATTTACATGTTCTCAACATCATGATAATTTGATTAGATATAATCCTTTTGTTTATATTGGTTGGTAGATGGTTATTCATGTCTACCTATTAACAAGAGCATTCTGGCTTATCTATTTGTTATGTTATTATTATCAACTATCACCCAGTTATCATCACATCCTTGATCATGACGACCGTCGTTTTAATATATTCATTTGCTTAATGATTAAGATTATATAGTTTCTCTAATTAATTATAATGACAGAGGACCATACAGAGATGCTTATTCTTCCTAATTGAACCATGTTCTCAAGATGCTACTTTTGTCTGTTCCTATTAAACAATAATAATTATTAACTCCGGTCAACTTTACATCGTAATAGACCATAATCATTTACTATCAAGTCTCTAAATATTCACAAGTATATATCCGAAGTCTTATTATACTAGTAGTATTTATTGTTGTCATTATAGCAATTGTCTTAAATGTTGCATGAAATTTCTAAATCCTGGTGAGAAACATAAGTTACGGATATCGAATATTGTTGTACTTTTCTCTTTTCCTTGTTGAGGATATAAATATATTATTACCTTGTTTTTCCTTTGAGGGAAAAATGTGTCAAGGTCCCAAAATAAAAAAACTATTGTGACAAGGCTCTTATATTATTTTTTGTGTGACAAAGCCCCAAACACATAAAATACTTGTGTTTCAGTCCTTATTTACCTTTCCAACACAGCACAGTGAGAATGTTTTTTCCAAATTTTAAAACTGCCCCCCCTCTCTCTTTCCTCTCTTCTCACGCTCAAGTCTCCAATCGACCACCAACATCTCCTCCTCCATGCTGCTGGCAAACAGAGGGATGAGCTCAAGATCCGTCGGGATCCGCTGTCAGACCCAACCAGAAACAAGATCAAGAAGCCTCCTCCGATCCCCAAACTCCATCTTGCTAAACTGAGCCTTTGACTCCTCACTGGTCCTACCCTCGTAGGAGGGAGCGGTGGCGAAGCTCTTGGTGTGCTGCAGTTAGGGGAGAAGAAGAAGGAGGAGGGGGAGGGGGCTTCGAGTCGACCTCGAGGAGGAGGACGTTGCAGCTGGAGTGGACGGGGGCGACGGAGCCAGGGTGGAGGGAGTCCTCCCCGTCAGCGCGGCCATGGAGTGGTGGTGGAGACACACAAGGCTTGCCCTGGGCAGCTGCCCAGGGCAAGAAAGTTTCTGATCATCTGTGGTTTTTTCATGGTTTTTGTTTTGAATAGTGTGAGCAAGTGATTTATATGTGCAGGTTCATGGCGTAACCCACTTTCCTATGGTTATATCTATGTGTTTGATTCTTGTGGCTCTTTTGTGCCCTGCATACCAGTTGTTTGTCATTTTGCTTCACTAAAATAATAAGATTAGTATTACACATAAACATGTAAAATTTTATTTCGGAGTCTTGAGACTCTGTGGTATGACCAACGTAAGTCTATGTCCCTATGACCACAACCCTCTAAGGAATTAATCACCATCTCTTCGTTGTTCAATATATATGAGAAGAAAAAAATCATTTTTTTGTGCCCATTTGTTACTTTGAGAATTTGCTACTAGTTTTCTCTTTTGGACAAGATTGTGTTTTGTAATGGCTTAGAATTTTTATTTTACCAAGTTTTTTATCAGCTGACGTTACCTTTGTGAATCCAGTGTTGCAACATTTATAACATCTAAAAGCTCCAGCCGATAATTTTGCTATTTATCTAACCATACGGTTTGGTTGTCTCTTATTTGTGGCAAAATAAGTAAAATTTTGATTAATGTTAAATCTCATGAGAACATAGAAGGTCTATCAAATCTCATGATCAGCAAGAACATGACATGTATCCTATGTTAACTTTAACTTGTACATGTTAACTTTCATCATTATATGTTAACTCTTCTCGTAACATGTTAACTTTCAGCTGAACATGTTAACGTTCATCATAATATGTTAACTTTTACTGTTACATGTTAACTTTTATAATAATATGTTAACTTTCTTCATAACATGCTAACTTTTTCTCAGAATGATTAGTTTTTCTCATCTTATGAATGTGTTGTGTTTTGAGAGAAGCTTGTTTTAGTAATGGATAAGCATACACCAATGAACTAGAGAACAAGATCTCACGACTTGAAGAAGAGAACGATATTACATTCTGCACCGCCACCAGAACAAAAGCATCAACTGCGACGATCAAACTCAGCTTCTTTCTAAAGATTGCCCGTATACTAAAATTTGTAGATTTGCATAGAGATTGGAGTGGTTTTTGTAAGATATTTGTATAAAAAACATATCTGAACTTGTGAGAACTTATATATCAATGATAAATCATCTTGAGGGACTTTTAGTCTTTCAAACACATCAAATTTTAGTTCAAAAAAAACTTATTATGAAGAAACTTAACATATTATTATGAAAGTTAACATGTAACAGTGAAAGTTAACATATTATGATGAAAGTTAACATGTTCAGCTAAAAATTAACATGTTATGAGGAGAGTTTATGATGAAAGTTAACATGTAACAATTAAAGTTAATATATTAGGATGAAAGTTAACATCTTCAAATTAAAGTTAACATGTTATGAAAAAAGTTGACATGTTCACGTGAAAGATAACTTATTCAGCTGAAAGATAACATAGTCGAAAAAAATAAAAAAAAATAAGCTGCTTTTAAAACTTCTTACAGGTGATATTGCTTGAGTACACAATATGATTATTCTTACAAATTCACAGATTACAACTTCGATGAAACACAAACAAACTTGCGAGATCTGATTACATCTCTTTCATCGATGAAACCATCTCATCAAAGACCTTCCTCGCAAACCCCACCCTCCCACACCTAGAATACATCGCTATCATCGCTTTCTTAATACAAACATCCTCATCGAGCCTCTCCCTTCTCACCATTTCCCTCAATTCATCGGCCTCTCATAGCCTCCGAGACACAACCCATCACATTCAAGAAAGTAGGTCTACTGGGTCGAATCCCAACATCCATCATTCTCCGAAAAAGGGACAATGACATCGCATGTTTTCCATTAAGGGCGTTGGCGCCGATGATAGCTGTCTAAGAAACAACATTTCTCATCCTTTGAGGCATTTGATCGAACAGGAGTTGGGCAGCCTACAAATGGCCACATTTTGAGTAGAAGGAGATGAGTGAGTTAGGGATGAACATGTCGGAATCGAGGTTGATTTTCACCATCAATACAATCAAATAATCAAACAAAATCGAACAGGAGTTGGGCAGCGTCCAAATGCCCACTTTTGGTATATTAGCTTCAAATATCACTCACCACAAGAAACAACACAATACAATCAAACGAAATCAACAGGGCAAATCAACAACCTGACAAAATAAAAAAAGGTTGATTTTCACCATCAATACAATTTGATGAAGGAAAGCAGCAAAACCCAATAACAGTAACCAAAGCATTAGACAAATAAGATGATACAGCGAGAGAGAGACGTCACCTAAATTAGATCAAGCTTTGCGCCTGAGACGCTTCCTCAGCTTCTTTAGCTTGTGCTTGTTCATCTTCCTCTTCCTCTTCTTCTTCTTCGCACTATCAGCCACATTGCCGGACCTCCGCCATCACCATGGTCGTCATCAAAGCCCATATTGGTGTCGTATAGGCCGAGCCCATGAAGAGAAATTGGGTCCAAAGTAAAGCAATGGGGAAAAGATCGGTAAAATGTTTTGGGGTCTGGTTTGGGTTTGAGTCAGGGTTTTGGTGAAGGAACGGGGAAAATGGGGGATTTGAGAGATGAGTTTTGTTGAGGGATGTGAGGAGTCTAAATTGAAGAGAGGTGAATGATTATTTTCACTTTCTTAGCGCTCCGCCACTATCGGCCGCCTCGGTCTTTTTCCCAGTTACCTCTGTGGTGGTTAATGCTGATGTCGGAGCTGCGACCTCCTCCGATGATAGGGCAACGATTTCTGGCGTCTCTGTGGCTGCGACCTCCACCGTCGTTGTGGCCTTCACCGTTTCTGGTGCCGAAGCGGCAACCTCCTCCAAGACCTCATAAGAGAAGAAGAAGAAGAAAAGGGGAAGGGGTATTTTCGGGAGCTTTTGTGATTAAAAATGGAATAGTGTGAAAAGGGGTCTAATCACAATTTTTTTAGTTTTTGGGTTAAAGGATATGAGAAAAACATTGAGGGCTGGGTCACAACAGCTTATATTTTTTTGGGCCTAGACACATTTTTCCTTTAGTTAATGCAATATTATTATATATCCTGCTATAATAAAATTGAAGATTTTGTATTTGGCACGTGTCCCACCTGCACACTGTTAGTGCGTACAGCATTAGTAGGCTTATTGATTAATTCTAATCAATAAAAAATCAACAAAGACCCTGATTAATTAATAGCTCTTAACCTTGAGTGATCAAATGGATGCATAAATCTTTAAAATTCATAGATAGCTCAAAGGCCTCCTGGTACCTCTTAAACATGAGTAATACAAGGAGCATGGATGTCGAGAGAGTCTTCCACATGAAGGCAGGCAATGGGGAGGCTAGCTATGCTCAAAACTCTTCACTACAGGTGTTATCTCTCTCTCTCTCTCTCTCTCTCTCTCTCTCTCTCTCTCTCTAATTTGGTTTCACCCCTCCGATGCTCTTTCAAGCCTTTCTTGGATAATAAATTTGTGTTTTGTACTAAAATTTGATTCATTTACTTTACCAATGTTTTATTTAGTGATTTTAGACATATGTAATCATTTATAATTAAAAAATTACATAAAAGCATATTGTTCTATAATGAAACTTTGTTTATGTTGTTTTGAATATTATAATCTTCCCATTTTGCACGCGCATGCGCATACGCGCACAACACCAAAATGCTGGTGCTATGCACATGAAAGATTCATAAGTGAGAGGAAAATAACGAAGAAACAAATAGAATAACTTCAAAATATGAGGCTGTACATGGAGGTTTGGACAGCAAAGCTTCTTTTAAGGGTACTTTCCGCATACTATCGTTTGGCTCATTTTGGATGTGTCATAAAACCTCCAAACATTTGGAACCTTAAATACCTAATGGTGTAGTTGAGGCTTTTATAAAAGTTCATGGTGGTTTTCTGAAAACAATGTTGAAAGTTAGGAAGGCATGTTAAAAAATTTGGGTTACGTCTTTAGGGGATATGTTGAAAAAAATGCAAATATTTAAAAGAGTTTTGTGATATGCCCAAAAATTAGGGGGTTAAGTAAAGTTCAAGGGGTTATCAGAAAGTGGGACAAAACATAGTGGGTTATATGAAATTTACACCTTACTTAATTAGTAAAAAAGTATCAAGACCAAAACAAGCCACTCGTAAGGAACCTAAGAGAGCTCACCTCTAAAAGGTCGTGTTGAGCGCGCGGAAGCCACCACACATATGTGCTTCGAGAAAAAAACCAAACAAACGTCGAGGGAAGGAAAAACAAACCAAATAATGGCACAATCACAAACAACCAATTTTAACGTGGTTCGGCAAGTTGCCTACGTCCACAGGGCAAGAAGGGGATGTAGTTTTCACTAATAGAGAAGAAGAGTACAAACTGATATTACAAATCACTCGAACTCACCAATTAATCTTACCAATAAATCTCTAATTCTCTCCAAACAAATCCCTAACCAATAACTTAGAAAGTATATCTTTTCTGTGCTCCAAATATCGCCAATTCAATCACCAATCAAAGCCAAAGAAACCCTAAAACGTGTTGGTATTTATACCAAACACCAAATCCCAAACAAAATCCAAATAGGAACTCAAACTTGGCAGAGCGAAAAACAACAACTAGAGAACATATCATAAGTCGACTTATCAGTCCTGATAAGTCGACTTGACAGAGCCAAAACCAATAATTCCAAAAACCCTAAAACGTGTTGGTATTTATACCAAACACCAAATCCCAAACAAAATCCAAATAGGAACTCAAACTTGGCAGAGCGAAAAACAACAACTAGAGAACATATCATAAGTCGACTTATCAGTCCTGATAAGTCGACTTGACAGAGCCAAAACCAATAATTCCAAAACAGAACATAAGTCGACTCGTGCACAGATACAAGTCGACTTACCATAAGTCGACTTATGCATGTGCATGAGTCGACTTATGACACAAAATCTGAATTTTTCTGAATTCTCCACAAATCTCCACCTCGGCAAAGTTTTTCCAAAACTGAGCCGACACCAATACCAACCAAACGTCCTACTTGTTGCGTTCAGTACGAAATAGAATAAAACCACGATAACGGACTCAATCCACAACAAGTCGAGACCCAAATGAGAATCCGATCACTCTCCAAACGTTGGTATCAACTCACCAAACCGGTTGCATCATAAATGACTGTCTACGTATCCTCTTTCCCAAGGAATCAAGCCTTCACATAGTTCACCCAACAGCCTCCAAAGGCCCTCAATCCAATAGAAGAGTTCTTAACTCTTCACCAACAAATCCGAGGCTGATAGCTCTCCCAATGGCCCTAAAGTGAAACAAACCAAACACCTCCAACTGAGATGAACCAACGGCCATATCCAAATCGAAACTATATCCACCAGCTGCACTCGAATCAACCAACTCATCATCTGCATTCAAATCCAAATGATCCCCAAACCGTGTCACCTCAGCTGGAATCCCAAACGATGTAGTATGATCTGGAGTATGTGGAGTAATCCCCATCTAACGTGGAGTAGCATCACAATCTACTCGCTACGATATCCCAACAATCTGATCAACACTCTCCACTTGCTGAGAGTCAAAAGTAATATATCTGCTCAGAAAAAAATCAGAAGTCAATACCTGATAATCAAACACGTCTCTGAATCCCAAATGTGCTATCGGATCAAATCTCACATCCTCGATGTGACCAAACGTTGGGCAACCAAACATTCGACGCAACCCAAAATCTGAATCACCTTCACCAAATCTAAAATCTCCACACGCAGTAGTCAGCAACCTATGACTAAGATGACCCAAATATGTCGAAGCTCCAAAACTTCTCTGTAATCCAATACTCGACAACTAACGTCGATCCTCCTCCATCAAGGAACGATCCATCAAAACTATAATCTCATCTCATCGCCCTAATGTTTCCTCTCTAATGAAGTGTCTCAAACTGTCGTGAGCTCGGCACAAACACAAGAAAGAACCCCTACCAAAAACAAAACGACGAGTAACCTTTCTGCCAATACACTTCCTCCATCTATTATTGACTACTAGGACTTCATACCTACGGGACTTGGTTACAACCCACCAATGCCTAGAACAGTTCCCAACTACGAAAACCAAATATCGATTACCTTCCAATGATGCCTCCTTGGAAGGTCCCCAAATGCCTGAATGAACACCACCTAGAAGACCCCTCAATCGTCGATTAGAATTGCCAAACTCCACCTTGGTTTCCTTGCTCATACCAGTGTGCTCAAAATGACTTTAATATGCAGGTCAAGGCACTTCTCAATAATTCAATATCCTAACCTCAACTCCTTCTTTCTCGGTCATCTATCTCAAAACACCAACAAACCAATACGGAACAAACGAAGAATAGATCCAAACTGATAAAGGAGAGATTTTTACCTTCAATTAAAACCCTAACAAGAGCCTCCAAAAAATCTCACCCCGCACGATGAAAACGAGATCCATAAGTAGAAAAAATCTCACATTTATCACTAACTGAAGCCCTAGACGAACTTTCAAAGCAATCTACTCCTCTAATTAGCCCAAGCGTAGCCCAAGCTCTGATACCACTTGTTGTGCTCTGATACCATTTATTGTGGATCTAACTCTTCAAATAGGAATCCTTTAGCGAATCCTTCGAACAAGCCCCAATCCAAACCTAAAGCTCTGATACCACTTGTTGAGCGCACGGAAGCCACTAAAACCTATGTGCTTCGAGAAACTAAACCAAACAAACATTGAGAGAAGGCAAAACAAACCAAAATAACAACACAATCACAAACAACCAATTTTAATATGGTTCGGTAAGTTGCCTACGTCCACGGTGCAAGAAGGGGATAATGTTTTCACTAATAGAGAAGAAGAATACAAACTAAGATTATAAATCACTCGAACTCACCAATTAATCTCACCAACAAATCTTTAATTCTCTTCAAAAACCCTAACCAATAGCTCAGAAAATACCTCTTTTCTGTGTTCAAAATATCCTCAATTCAATCACTAATCAAAGCCAAAGAAATCCTAAAACGTGTTGGTATTTATACTAAATACCAAATCCCAAACAGAATCCAAATAGGAACTCGAACTATGCAGAAAACCTGCTATAAGTTGCCTTAATAGGGGTTGTAAGTCAGCTTGGCAGAGCGAAAAACAACAACTGGAGAACAGATTATAAGTCGACTTATCAGTCCTGATAAGTAGACTTGACAGAGCCAAAACTAATAATTCCAGAACAGAACGTAAGTCGACTCATGCACAGATAAAAGTCGACTTACCATAAGTCGACTTATGCTTGTGCATAAGCCGACTTATGACACAAAATCTGGATTTTCTTGAATTCTCCACGGGTTGCTTGTAGAGGGAGGCCATCCAAATCACTTATAAACCCACATCAAGTCACTCATATAACCAATGTGGGACTAAATGGACAGTAACATACCACCACACTTCCGATCTTGTTGCCTATGCAGGCTGGTTGTGCACTAGCCTAGTCCTGGTCAAACACTACAATCCTGACATCATCTCTTTGGCTTTGCCCTAAACTAGTCAAGGGCGAACAATGCAATACTGATGTTAAACAATGCAATACTGATGTTACCACCTGCGTTGCTCGTTTGCAATCGGAAGGTAGGCCTCGGCTCTGGTACCACTTGTATGGGATGTAGGAGAACTCACCCCTAAAATATATGCTTTATTTCAGTTTGTAAAGAAATTAGTTATGTTCCTCTCAAAGTACTTATTAGCTATGCTCCGCTTTTCTCATTGCTCAGAAGAAGAGTATGGAGTCACTGAAGCACATACTCATAAAATCAGCCATAGATTTCTACACCTCAGAAGCGCCACAGACACTCACCATAGCTGATCTGGGATGCTCTTGCGGCCCCAACACATTTGCCATGGTAAAAAGAATCATAGAGGGCATATGCAAGAGTTGCTGCGAAATGTCATCGACACTGCCAGATTTCATGGTGTTCCTCAATGATCTTCCGACCAACGACTTTAACTCGGTTTTTGTTGGCGTGCCGGAGTTTGTGGAGGAGATGAAGGATTGCAGCGGGGCATCGGTGTTTCTGGCAGGAGTGCCAGGGAGTTTTTATGGGAGATTGTTTCCGAGCTGTAGCTTGCATTTTGTGTGCTCGTTGCATAGTGTGCACTGGCTCTCTCAGGTCAGCATTCTTATCTACGTTTTGAGAGGAATAATAACTTTTAACGCTATGTTTAGAAAGAGTAGTTGGAGTTTCACGTTATTCAACTGCAATCAAAATTTCAACATGTATGTTTGAGTATTACAAGGGAAAATTTTAGCCACCCTCTAAATCACATCCCGCTAACTTTGGAGTGTCCACAAAACCCTCTACACTTCAGGGGTTTAAGTGGGAAAAAAGTCAGATGCTTAGGGATTTTGTGACCAGCCTCGGAGGTTGGGGTTAAGTGACATTCATAAAGTTTACGGTGGTAATCTTTGACATGGCCAAACTTTAGGCGGCTTTTGTGAAATTTAGCCTAAAAATTATTATTATCCATCCTGCATACTTGTTATTAACTTGTTTTTCACAATTTACATGTGTTATCAAATCTTCTAGAATTTCTGTCTCTGGAAAAACTTTATTTTAACATATCCAATTGGTTACAGGTTCCTCCAGGACTTTTGGACCAACAAGGCAAATCAATCAACAAAGAAACCATGTATATAACACACAGAAGCCCGACAGCAGTAGTAGAATCATACTTTAATCAATTTCAGAGAGATTTCAGCTTATTTCTCAAATCAAGGTCAGAGGAGCTTATCAATGGAGGAAGAATGGCTCTAGCTATGTCAAGCAGGAAGAGTATTGATTGTTTTGATAAAAACACAACTCTTTTATGGGATTTGTTGGCCCAGTCATTTGCTCTCTTGGTGTCTCAGGTACATGAAACATTCTTCTCCTCAACCTACAAATATGTCAAATGTGTTGATAGAAACAGGAAATAGTGTAGTTCTAGAAAATGATGTCTATAATTTCGCATTCGTTTCATCTAAATATACAAATGTTATATATGAAGGCCTATCATCATTTTTTTTATATCTTAACTACACTTCGTCAACAAGGGTGGAAAATCAGACGGGTTGTCTATGTTAGTCAAAAATGGTGAGCCACCGAAAAGCTTCAAGCCACCAAAGTTGACAAAAATGTAGACAATCCTCAAATCACCGAATTCGGTGAATGACAGGGGAGAAGAAAAAATTGTACGTGGGCCCCACCAGTATTAAAATATTAGTGCATAGTGTCTTTCCAAACACTATAAATAGGTCCCCAATCTCTTAAGGAAAACTCATCCCAGAAACAACTCCTCTTATAGAAGAACAAGAGAGAGAAAAGAGAGGCTTAGAGAAAAGTCTTTGTGAAAGAAAATTGTGAGCAATTTTCAGAGTGGGATTGAGTTGTGAGAAAAATTGAGAGTGTTGTAAAATTTCTTCCAAATAGTGAAAGATCTGCAGCAGCCCGTGGACGTAGGTAATTTTGTGCCGAACCACGTAAATCTTGCGTGTCCCCCAATTTTGCGCATTTTATTTTTCGCTTTCTCTCAAATCTGGCAATAGGGGAATCCGAGTAATTTCCCAACAACTGGTATCAGAGCTCTGGTTGTGACGTCTGTCAAATTTCTGAACTGGTATCAGAGCTCTGGTTGTGACGTCTGTCAAATTTCTGCAAGGTTACTATTCACGTGAATAGTATATTTCGTGAATAGTGTAATTTTGCCGGCGGTACCGACTTGTCGGCAGAGGTATCTTAATACAAGGTGGTTCGCAGAAATTATCAGAAACGATCCAGAGGAAGTCAGATTCGAGTGGGAGCTATGGCTGCAGATGAAGGGAAGGTGAAAATTGAGAAGTTCGATTGTGCGGACTTCGGCTTTTGGAAGATGCAGATCGAAGATTATCTGTACCAGAAGAAGCTGTATCAACCTCTCTCGGGAAAGAAGCCAGATGATATGAAGGATGAAGAGTGGGCTCTCCTCGACAGACAAGCCCTTGGAGTTATCCGATTGACGCTATCCCGAAACGTTGCCTTCAACATAGCAAAGGAAAAGACCACGGCGGGTCTTATGGCGGCTCTCTGCAGCATGTACGAGAAGCCCTCTGCCTCAAACAAAGTCCACTTGATGAGGCGGCTGTTCAATTTGCGAATGATGGAAGGCGCATCGACAGCTCAACACCTCAATGAACTCAACATAGTCACAACCCAGTTGAGTTCAGTTGGGATTGAATTTGATGAAGAAGTACGAGCATTGATACTTCTTTCTTCTCTACCAGAAAGCTGGAACGCTACAGTCACGGCTGTGAGTAGCTCATCGGGAAGCAACAAGTTGAAGTGGAACGCTACAGTCACAGCTGTGAGTAGCTCATCGGGAAGCAACAAGTTGAAGTTCGATGATGTTCGTGATCTGGTTCTTAGTGAAGAGATCCGACGGAGAGAATCGGGTGAAGCTTCAACCTCCTCAGCTTTACACACGAAGTCTAGGACTTTGATGTCAGAAAGAAGTTCAAATCACGGCAGATCAAAATCTAGAAGGAGCAAATCTAGATCAGGAAAGAAAGACTTCAAGTGCTACAATTGTGGCAAGAAGGGTCATTTCAAGAGGGAGTGTCGGGCACCGAAGAAAAACACCGGCGCACAGGAGTCTGCCAACGTGACCGAGGAAGGAGGTGATGCTATGATTCTAAGCGTCAACAGTCCGATTGAATCATGGATTCTTGATTCAGGGGCATCTTTTCATTCCACCCCATGCCGAGAAATCATGGAGAACTACGTCAGCGGTGATTTCGGAAAGGTACATCTAGCAGATGATGAAACCTTGAAGATTGTTGGCAAGGGAGACATTCGATTAAAATTGCCAACCCGTGGACGTAGGCAATTTTGTGCCGAACCACGTAAATCTTGCGTGTGGAGATACAATACTAACAGGCTATGTAGATGCTGATCTAGCAGGAAATGTTGATATCAGAAAGAGCACTACAGGGTATGTATATACTCTAGGAGGTACTGCAGTGAGTTGGGCTTCTCAACTGCAGAAGATAGTTGCTCTCTCCACAACTGAAGCAGAATATGTCGCTGTTACAGAAGCCAGCAAGGAAATGGTGTGGCTTCAAAATTTCTTGGATGAATTAGGCAAGAAACAAGAAGACAATGTCTTATACTGTGACAGTCAAAGTGCTATTCATCTAGCGAAGAATCCGTCTTTCCATTCCAGAACGAAGCACATACAGATGCAGTATCATTTTATCCGGTCACTTCTGGAAGATGGAATTTTGAAGCTTGAAAAGATCAGTGGAGCTCAAAATCCGGCAGACATGCTGACAAAGACGGTGACTATTGACAAACTGAAGCTGTGTTCAGCTTCAGTTGGCCTGCAATAGTATAAAGACCGGGAAGCGCTGCTGCATAGATCGAGGTGTGAAGACAGATTAAAACCAGTCTTCAAGTGGGAGATTGTTAGTAAAAAATGGTGAGCCACCGAAAAGCTTCAAGCCACCAAAGTTGACAAAAATGCAGACAATCCTCAAATCACCGAATTCGGTGAATGACAGGGGAGAAGAAAAAATTGTACGTGGGCCCCACCGGCGGGCCCCACCAGTATTAAAATATTAGTGCATAGTGTCTTTCCAAACACTATAAATAGGTCCCCAATCTCTTAAGGAAAACTCATCCCAGAAACAACTCCTCTTATAGAAGAACAAGAGAGAGAAAAGAGAGGCTTAGAGAAAAGTCTTTGTGAAAGAAAATTGTGAGCAATTTTCAGAGTGGGATTGAGTTGTGAGAAAAATTGAGAGTGTTGTAAAATTTCTTCCAAATAGTGAAAGATCTGCAGCAGCCCGTGGACGTAGGTAATTTTGTGCCGAACCACGTAAATCTTGCGTGTCCCCCAATTTTGCGCATTTTATTTTTCGCTTTCTCTCAAATCTGGCAATAGGGGAATCCGAGTAATTTCCCAACAGTCTAGTTGTTTATCATATTTCAATTGTGTACGTTGCAGGATTTAGTTGAACAAGAGAAGGTCGAATCATACAATGTTCCATTCTATGCACCATCGCCAGCGGAAATAGAGGATGAAGTGGAGAAGGAAGGATCTTTTTCAATTGACTATATTGAACCATATGAGTTCAGTTCAAGCAGTGGCAATGCTGAGAATGACGCAGCGATCATCACAATGGCTGTAAGAGCAATCCAAGAATCCATGATTACATATCATTTTGGGGGAGGAGAGATCATTGAACCCCTGTTCCAAATTTATAAGGGATTACTTACCGAGGCAATAAAGAAGGATGAGGTAAAGAGCACACATCTGGTAGTGGTTCTGAGAAAGTTGCCATAGTTTCAATCATGGGACTAATTATAGGATAAATGAAGCATTTTTCCTATATCCTTTGATTGCCCAGATTGCCATTTGCACATCTTATTTGTTTCCCATAGTCAGTCCCATGATTTTCAGGTTACGAACAGGGAAATATATCTCATTGAAGAAGTATTTTGATGCGTGTGCACTAAAATTCAACAGTATTATGCCATTCAA